ATGATTGTGCTTGATCAATCTCATAGTTTGAATCGAGAGAATCTTTGCATATGCATCTTGTCTTCTTTTTTCTTCAATTTTCCTTTGTTTTTTTCTCTTTTTATTTTCTCTTTGCTTTTTTTCTCTTTTTGTTCTGATTGAATCTTCGCACTTGGCATTTGGTTCACCTTTCAGTATCTCATCTGAATCAATGTCTTCACTCATACGATCATATTTTCTCCACCTTGCCCCCCAGTGTGGAGGATGATCCTTGGTTAGGGTTGAATCAGAAGAAAAATACTATAGGCTCAAAAGGGGACACAAGAGATATATATTTTCTCCTATTGTGAAGGGGTAAAGAAAGAAAGTCGTTCATCATTTCATACATGGAAGCTTTCACAGAAGAGGTATCCCAGGGGGATAGATTTTCAAGATTAATTTTATTCACATGAAAACAATGTAATTAATGCATGATAGAATTATTTCGAGTGAATTCTTCTTTCTGCTTCTTACCCCCAACATGTCTTAATGTTCAGGCTCCCTGCGAGATGCCCCAAGTTGTGTCTTAGAAGAATGCTCATGATCAAATGAACAACTCAATGCCTTGGGTTTTAATGGTATAAAAATGTCAATTTTGAGTCTAAAAAGACAATGGTATGACTTTATTGACTCAAAGAAAGATATGGGTGTATAAAAAAAATTCAAATGGAGGTAATGTCAAAATTTAGTCTTTTTGGTAATGACCATGAGTTATTTTGGGTAAAGAATCAAGGTATTTTATTTTGGGGTTTGAGACATGATAAGAAAGGTCTAATCTTGCCATATTTCAAAAATCTATAATTCTTGAAGAATTAAAAGAATCTTAATTCATTTAATATTCGAATAACAAAAGATTAAAATTTGTTCAATTGCTCCACCTTAGAAAGTAGCATAAATTCAATCGTTTAAAAGATTAAGCAAACAGGAAAGATCAAAGACGTGTTCAAGCAAAACAATCCTCTAAGTGCAAATGATATATGCAATGCCCCCTTCTTCGGCTGTCCATGCCCTTGAATCCATCAGGTTTTGGATCTCGCGCTTCAGCGCCTTATAGTTCTCAGAGGAATGTTTGGAGCATCCTATGTGGTAACTGCAAACAGCTTCACATCGTAGCCCTTAGGATATGTGGACTCTTTTCTCAGATCATTCTAGTAGGCTTAGTCGTACAACCAGCAGATCGGGCTCATTTGTTGTGATTTCAGTTTTTTTCTTTTGATGTTACAATCTTGCTTCCATGTGGTGTCATGTGGTTAAAACCACTTCATCGAATTCTTCATGAAGAAATTTCATGTTTATAAAAATGCTTAAAAATGAAATGTAGATGCAAAATGCAAAAATGCATGAAATGTTCGAGGCATTGATCCAAAAACATGTATGTTATTATAAATAATCTTTATTGGGAAAAAAGTGTTTTATCTTTTAAGAGACAATAAACATATTTAAAGGTACATCCGGACTAAATCCTCTAGACCCAGAACAGGTTGACTAGTCATTTGCCTTCGTCTTTCACCGGTTGAATAAACTATCGAACCGCTCCGGCCTCTCTGGATGAACCGTGAAAATGTTGAGTTGTTTTTGTACTGGTTCCCAAAAGTATCGAATGACTGCATCTCTGGCTTTCATCCTTTTCTGAATCGAAAACTCCATTGAAATCCTCCATCAAATGGATTATCCGAAGTTCATTTGCTTGTTTCTTGAATTTGTCGACAATGACTTGCCATCTTGTTCTTGTTGTCTTTGAATAGACTCTCGAGGTTAGTAACATTTTTTCGTCTTGCCCTTGCCACCTTTGTCAACACATTTTTGAAAAGTTGACTTTTGATCTATTTGATTGTGGGCACCATGTCTTCTTGATCGAATGTGATACATAGTTGTCTTGCAGATTATCCTCATTTTCTTTCTGAGTCTTTTCTGACCATAGTCGGACCCCTGCGTTTTTCACCTCTTGTATTACAACCCCTTTGTCCATTAATGCAGATTATTCATGTTTTAACAAACACGTTTTTGGTAGATCAACACCTCTTTTAAATGATTCAAACGATGAAAACAAAATAAAAGAGAGAAAAAATGAAAAGAGGTTAGTGATGTGAAAATAATAAAAAACAATCATGAAAATAAAGTCCTACCCCACATGATATCTACCACACATACTTATTATTCCTACCTGGACATGATCTCTATACCGCATGTTAATTTCAAACAAATCCTATCCGCATGTTAATTCCATGTATTCTCCCGGTTTAGGTTCTACAGAAGGTACCCGAGTTCTCCTTGTTGGTGCCCCCTTGGTCTTGCCAGACCCTTAGTCCTAAGCCCATTGCAAGCTTATGTGGACTAAGTTAAACTCGAGAGAAAACATTCCCTTATGCCCGCACAGTGAATAAATTCACACGAAGACATAAGGTATATGAATCTCGAAGGCTACTTGCTAGGCCCACACGGTGAATAAATTCACACGAAGGCGTCACTTTCACCCCCACTTAAAAGGTTTCAGAGCTCGGGTATAGAGCCTTAGATGAAAATTTTGAAAATCTGAAATCATCAAAAAAATGTCAGTACAACTATTTATTTGAAAAATAATCAAAGGTAAGTAATTGGAATCGAATGAATAAATTAAAATTAAAATTTACCATTTTCGCATAAAAAGACAACACAAAATTAATTTCAGCCTGACTCACTTACCGGTCCCCAGCGGAGTCACCAAGCTGTCGTAACCGTCTTTCGGTTGGGCCCCGGAATTGGGCTTCGAATTGAAAATTGTGGATTGGAGTCGCCACCGACCACTTTAAAACGAATTTAGGTGGGTTGGACACCATCTTACATGCTATGCGTTTTTACCAGAAATGTGTCGGGTTCGGGAGTCGGTTACGGTCAAGGAAGGATTAACACCCTTGAACTACCCTTTCGGTACCAATTAATTTGTCGGTTGTCTTAGTTGCGAAAATTTGAAAGTTAGATTAAAATTTAACAAACCCGATTCAAATTACTTACAATTAATTGATTTGAAAGCGTATTCTTAAAAAAGTCAATAAACATGTTAGAAAAAAGGTAATAAAAACTAACAAAATAGAAAACTGATGAAATAGAGAAGATAAAATAAAACAAATAAAAGAATAATAATAAAATAACGATAACAAGTAAATTAAATAAAAATAAAGAAACAAAAAGAAAAATAAGACATAAAATAAATAAATAAAGTCCATAAAAGCAAATGAAATAAATAAAATACTAGAAAATAATGGTGAAAATAATATATACATAGTGAATAAATAAATAAATGCAATAGGGGAAAATATAAAATAAAATTAAATAAATAAAATAGATATAAGATAAACGAAATGATAATATATATATATATATATAATAAATAAAAACATAAAAAAATAGTAAATATATATATATAAATTAATAAAACAGATAATGAAAATTAACACATATATATATATATATATATATATATATATATATATATATATATATGTAATCTAAAAATATATATATACTAAAATAAAAAAGAAAATGCATAAAATGTAAAAAAATATTACATGAAAAAAAAGAAAAAACAAAACAATTAAATAAAATGAGTAACAAGAGAAATGTGCGTATAAAAAAAATTAAATAAATAAAATAATAATAATTAAAACCATTGTTTTGAAAACCGGACCGGTCGGTTCAACCGGAAACCGCTGCCTAGTCCGGTTCAATCTACACCGGTTGAACCATTATTAGTGAACCGGCCGGAACCGTTGAACCGTTCAAACCGGACCGGCTAAAAACCGGAAAAACCGCCAAATTTGTTTTTTTTTTTAAATTAAACCAAACGACGTCGTTTGTTAAACGAGCCAAGTCGAACTCAAGTATTGCTGAGCTCAACTCGAACTTGAAAACTTTAAAAGTAAGCTCAACTCGACTCAAACTCACTAGCTAAAAATTATCAAGTTCAACTCGAACTCGAAATATAATATTGAAACTTGAACTCGAAAAGGCTTGAACTCAAAAAAAATTTAGAAGCTCGATTGAAGCCTAAAATTCGAGCTTGATTGAAGTGAAAGAATAATTCACTCAATGCTCACCAAAAGGCTCCATGATTTTGAATGCCAAATTACCTCTATTATTTATAGAAGTTAGTTGGGATACTCTTCTATGTTTCTTAGCCATGTGTGATTGTTTTGTTCTTATATTTTCTCTTTAGACTTTTGGGATGCTCTTCTATGTTTCTTAGCCATGTGAGATTGTTTTTAAAAAAATTAAACCAAACAATATTATTTTGTTATGATTTTTATAGCCCCAAATTTATTTTTTAATTATAGTTATATAATTATATTTATTATTTAATATGTTTTACCTTAATTATTATGTTGTAGTTAATTTGAATTATTTTGTTTCACTTGATTTTATGGTTTTTAACTTATATATGTTATGACTTGCTTTGAATATGACTTGTGATATAAAAAATCATTTTTTATTAAATATTTTTGGTATTTTTATTTAATTTTTTAAATAATTATGACGTCGTCCGGTTCTTCCGACCGGTCGGACCGGTTTGACCGGTTGAACCAATGAATCGGTAGCATGGCCGGTTCGCTAACCGGTCCGGTTTTGAAAACCATGATTAAAACGTAAATGTAAGAGACCGAACCAAAAGTAAAAAAGATGCTACCTTTAATTTCCTTTTTGAATCGTTTATAATAGCTTTGCCTTTGTATTTTCCGTGCTTTCCTCTGTATTTTGTATGTCAATCTTGTCCTACCAATGGGGAGGATTACATGTATTTATAGTGAAAAAAACTAACTATTTTTATAATCCTATTAACAATAGAATCCTAATGCAACTAGACTCCTTGCTCGGTTGTTGCACGTTTGTTGGTGTGGTTGTTGCTTTAAAAGATATGGTGGTGGAAGAGTCTTCCTAGGAGATGAACTCTTACTAGTTCTATCTTTTAAGAAAATAGGTGTCTACACATTGCTTTCTTGATTTTTATAGAATCTATTCCACTGCCTGATGGTATGTAACCCCAGATGAGAAGGGATATGGCATGGTTCAATAGTTATCGCTATGATTATGGAGCCAAAGATAGGATTCTTGGGTAAGAAGATAACCCAATTTCATATACTACAACTATAGACCTTGAAACAATGACATGCATAATGTATACCATACATATATCAGGTACCCTGATGATCCATACAACAGCATATGGGAGCCTCGGATTCCACCTGGCCTAGAGCCGGTAACTACAAATTTCACTTCCATCGATGTTACATCTGTTAATGACCCTCCCGATTCTGCAATAAGCACAGCAGTTGAGGCTCAAAATTCATCAGATCCTATTGACTTGAGTTTTGGTTTTGGCAATGTAAGCCACCTAGACCATGTGGAAATGTGCTTCACTGAGCCATTCCTGCAAACTAGTGATACTAGATCCTTCAGTGTACTCGTGAACAAAAATTACGTTAACACTACCAGACCAGAATACCATAACTGTGTCAGCATTGGGGCAAACACCCTGTCTGTTTGCACTTTGAATGTTCAGCTAGAACCAACCAGCAATTCCACACTATCACCGATAATAAGTGCCATAGAAGTTTACACTGTTAGTGAACCTCTTGTCACTGCAACTACATCACAAAATGACTGTAAGGCTCATTTCACCCTAATTTTTTTACTCCCAAGTCAATGTAGTATGTATTTTTTCGGGTTTAACTTGAAGGAAATGTTTGTTAAGAAGTGGAGGGATTGGGAGAATTTGTGGAGACCTTCAAACAGCTGAATGGATGGAACGGGGAACCATGTTTACCGGATGACACCATCTGGCAGTGGCTAAACTGCAGCCCTGATTATCAACCTTCAAGAGTAACTGCAATGTATACACAAATCTTGACACAGTTTTATTTTCTCTTAATGTTTCTTGCCTAGCAAGAAAGTTCCTTGTGCCAAAACCCGAAATTCTACACTTTCTTGGAACAAACTTATCTTACATCGTTGACATCCGTAAATCAACTTTAACGTCATCAAATAGTGTTAAGCAAAAAAACGTTTTCTCGTGTAGCATATATCTTTCTGGATACAGTCTGCAAGGTTATCTCCCAGATTTCAGCCAAATGGATGCCCTTGAAGTAATGTGAGTTATTTAACTTTTCAACATAACACCATTAAATTAAAAATATTGCCATCCACTGCTTGTTTGTTTTTAAGCTTTTTAATAATTGCTGTTTTTCTCTTCTTGAATTAGAGATCTGCATAACAACAGACTTCATGGGGCCATTCCAGATTTTCTTGGAACACCGCCTAAAATACGTAAACTATCAGTCGCATGCTCAAATCCGACTCGAATAAAAAAACTGCAAACTAAATCATCTTTCTTTCTTTCCATATACATATTCACAGTGATCTCCGAGATAATGATTTTTCTGGCTATGTTCCTAGAACAATAACAGATAACAAGCAACTCGAATTCAAGTAAGCAGGGCAGGGCAACTGGCAAGCTCATCTTCAAGCATTACTTTTGTGTTCAATGTTTTCCAAGTGTTGAAACTTACCATTGTTCCTGGTTAATGTTCGGGCAGGATTGATGGGAATAAGAATATGAAGTACCCAAAAAGCAAAAAGGCTGTGACACTAGCTGCAACTGTCGTCGTTTAGATTGTGTTCTTTGGGATTATTGTGTTTTGCTGTTCTAAATGCTGCTCAAATCGTGAAGAATCAACAGAAGAAGCTCCTCGGATTCACACGGTGCGTATATGGAGGGTTGTCCGAATATTGAGGGGAAATTAACCAATGTTTCGAAGTGTGCAATCATGCACTTTTTTCCAAGGCTGTGATTTGCCGCTATGCAAAAGAAATAAATACAAACTTTGATGATATAATAAAGCTAGTAATGGTTTACATTTTTTTACCAGCGAAGAACGTTTACTATGCACCTAGCACCTTACAGATTATCTGGCATATGTTAAGTAATGCATTTTTATAAATATTTTATATTCAAATTAAAGATTTTCATGTGAGTAGTTAACTTCTAGTCATCTCACTTAAATCATTTTTCTTATATCAACCACACACTTCTCCAATAAACCCTTTGCACTCCACGTACTTTCCGAATTTTTATGGACATGATCGTTGGGATTCCATTATCTCAATACAATCAAGAAGATTGTCGGGTATGGAGTGGGAAAAAAACGGATTATTCAGTGTGCGAAGTGCCTATAGATTATTGCTGGAGGATGGGAACGTTTCCCCTACTGAGAGAGCCACGCCATCAAAACATTTGGGAGAGTAATCGTCTGAGAAAAATCAAGTTGCAGGTTTAGAAGGTTTTCTTTAATTTTGTTCCAACTTTTCAGAATCTCTATCAAAAACATATCACAAATAGTCCTTTTTGTCTGCAATGCCCAACGAGTATTGAAAGTAATGTGCATATGATTAGAGATTGTGCTCTTTCGAAACAAGTTTGGCGTGAGATGGGATATCGTTGGCCCCATCATATAGATAATGTAAGTTTCGCTGAATGGTTATCGTGGATTTTCAACAGCAGCAACAGAACACAACATTCAGATATTTTAGTAACTATTTGGGCATTGTGGTTTTGTCGAAACAAGTTTTGTCATCAAGGGCAAATGACCAGAAAAGAGGAAGTGATTACCTTGGTGCGTACACAGTACAACGACTACGCAGAAGCAAACGTTCATCTCCATGGAAACCAGAAACCCCCGATTGTTCACTGGCGGCCACCACTGCGCTCTTCCGTAAAAGCAAATTTTGATGCCCCATTTTTGCAGGATAGAAAAGTAGCCTGATCAGGGGTTGTTATCCGAGATACTGAAGACTCAGATTAGTTTATGATGGCTCAGATTAGTGATGCGGAAGGCCCAATCTTGAGTTTTGTTTAAATCTTCAAGCTTCGGTCGAGTAAAGTTTCTTCAGTTCAAGCAGAAGAGAGAAGGCCAGCAGTCAGTTCTCAAGCTTTGTTTTACTTGGTTTAACTTTTGGGTAAACTAGGCTAGTAGTTCTTTTTATTTTCAATCTCATCGATTTTGATTATCGATTTTTTAATTAAATACGTTTGATCTCTAAATTAAATACGTTTGATCTCCGACCGTTTGGTTCAAGTTAACTCTCGTTAACCTTTAACTTAAGTATTTAAGTGCAATCAAAATTTGTTAAAAAAAATCCACGTAAACTACTCTTCTTTCTCCTCTTCTTCTTCTCTAGGTCAACTCTTCTTCTTTTTCTTCTTCTCTTAAATCCAATTCTGGCAAATTTTTAGCTGACAAATCAGAAGCGTTGGAAGCAAGAAGACCCAGAACGGGAGCGAGGTAAGTGTAGTTTTGAAGCGGATAATACCATAAAAACCAATTACCCAAGTTTTGGTAAACCAAAACCAGGCGTTCGACATAAGGTTGCTCCACCACACCAACGAGGATCTTGAACTCTTTGTACATCTCCACCCCTCTGGTCCACAAGCTACCACTTCTCAGCCTCATTCCTGCAGTCTGAACTCCGGTTAAATTAGAAGGAGCAACGCCTTCGTAGAGCACTCCCGTTTTAGGCCGTACAAAGGCCCTATAAGCATAGTCTTGGAGAAAAGCATCGAGTGCTCTAGCGGCAGCGCTCATTGAAGATGCATTAGTATCGGAAGACTGAACCAGTAGAGTTGGGACCAAGAACAAGAATAAGCAGAGAAACGAAACGAGCATGGCGAGACTCGGAAACAGCAGCAAGAAACTACCGGTGTTGAAATTCATTTACAATGCAAGTGGGCAGGCGGCATTGGAGCAAGTTAGTGGGTTTGAGCTTTTAAGGAAAACATAGATTAAAAATGTAAATTCTGTCAAAGAAACAGATTAAGCCATTAGGTGGTTAATGGAAAGAAGAAGAAGAAGTGATAATGGGAATTTGAGACACGTGATACAATTGCAACACGTGATAATATAAAAGACCGAGTGCATTTAATTAAAAAATAAGTGACCCGAATCGATAATACTAAAACAAAGGTACTACTGGCATAGGTTACCCTTAACCTTTCTAGTCTTTTCATTTATTTTTCAAACTTCTTTTAATGTCCGATATTTTTTTCGAAAAATCACCGTTAAATAATATATTTCTCGATCAGGTACCTGTTATATTTTTCGATCTAACACTCATTGTAGTATAGCGCACCCCATACGTGGCGTAAAGCGCGCCCCTGATTTGTAATAAACCAGAGTGTTAGTTTTATAAATATTTTTAAAATGATGTCTAATATGTAATTAATTTTTATTATGATGATATTTGTATAAAAATGTCAACTTCAAAATAAACCAATATGTAACTTTAGACAAACAATTCTGCAAGTAATCTTTGATGGCCCCCACACGTTTTTACTGTCTTTCTTTTAATAATAATTTTTTTAATATTTAATAATATTTATTAACTTTTAAAATTAATTTTTTTAAAATATTAAAAAAATTATTATTCACTTTTTTAAAAATAAATAAATATTAAATTTTAATTTTATTAAAAATGAATAAACATTATTAACTGTTGTTAAAAAAAATAATAATTAATGAATAATAATTCATTTGATCTTTCAAGTGTAATTAAAAGTTTATTTTAGTATTTTTTATATTTTTAAACAATTAATTTTAAAATATTGTATTTTCAAGACCTAAAGTCAAGTTTATGATTGTTAAACAGTCGTAGGTGTGGAAAGTTACAGGGATCGAATGAAAATTCGATCATACAAAGTTAATAACTCAAAATTGTCTAACTGCTGTCTAAATATCAACTCAATTGTACCACGAATAAACATTCGATCAAAGAGTTGATCTTTTCTGCTCAATCTTCACAAAAACTGTTTTGTCTCATTATTTTCTCCCTCGTATAAACTCATTTTTTTATAACATTCATGCAAAAGAATATATGTATTAATAATATTTATAATGTTTATTCATTTTTAATAAAATTAAAATTTAATATTTATTTTATATTTTTTAAAATTAATATTATATAAATAATATTTTAAATAAAGAGGTGATATTTTTTAGCTTTACATTATATTTTTATTGAATTTTATTCATTTTTAATTCTTTTTTATTGCATTTTTATTTATTTTATATTTTTTATAATTAATATTATAAAGAATATTTTAAATAAAGAAATAATAATTTTTAAGTCTGATTTGTTTGCAACAGTCAATCAAACAAAAAGGGCAAAACAAAAGTGATTAGTATTAAATTAAAAAGCACAGCTTGCAAGGTAACTCTGACTCCCTGCATTGGCAGTGGCAGTGTCAACCACAAATAAATAAAAACAATGACTCAGCTGAATTCTCCAAATAATGCAAAGGATAATAGCAACGTTTTAAGGTTGTCAAATTGTGTTATTAATTCATATATTATATATAAAATATAAATTTAATTATTTTTATTTAATTAAATTGTATAACTTTTCTATAATTATTATGTGAAAATAACAAGTTAACTTTTCTGTAATAATATTAATATATTTCTAAATAAAAAAATTAAAGCTAAACAAAAAGGATAATTAAAATCGAATAATAAATTGTGGGGTAATACATTGTAATTGAATTTGTCAGAGTATAATAAATGTAATTTAAATCTGGCAGCGGAAGAGACAAAAGAAAGACAGTAAAAACGTGTGGGGGCATCAAAGATTCCTTGCAGAATTGTTTGTCTAAAGATTGATTTGTTTTGAAATTGGTATTTTTACATAAATATTATCATAACAGAAATTAATTATATATTAGGCATCAGTTTAAAAATATTTACAAAACTAACACTCGGATTTATTACAAATCAGGTATAGTGCGGCCCAGGAGGCGCGCTTTACGCCACGTATGGTAAAGCGCACCCTGAGGCGCGTTATACTGGAATGTGTGTTAGATCGAAAAATATAGTCTGACGGGTGCCTGATCGAAAAATATATTGTTCAAAAGTGACTTTTCAGGACAAATACCTTAATGTCCACGTTATTGTTTCAGTTTGTTTGGTTCCAGCTGTCCCACACTCCGCTTGAGGGATAGTTCTAAACTCTTTTGTTTTGATTAATAAAGGCTGGCACTCCAAGATTAATATATATATATATATATATATATTAAAAATAATAATTTAATTTCTTTTCTTCCTGTCATTTAAGATCTATCCTTAAAAATCATATTATTTTCCTCAATCAAGCTCCACTTGCATTGCTGTTGTTTCCCATTACCAAGGTCTGTCCTAAATCAAGAGTTATGTAAATGATGAGTATTTAGAAACTTTCTTCACAAACGGATTTGGACGGAGATGGAGGTTTCTTTTGGATGCTCCGAATGGCTGCTTCATGTTTCCACAAGAAAAAACGCATACTGCCTCTGCAACCATTGGTCGTTAGGTTACCCTTTACTAATGGCATTGCCAAAAGACGACTCCTAAATCATTTTTTTATAGAAATCATTTTCTTCGTCAATTCTGTTAACCAGTATTATAATAATTCTCCACTCGTTTATAGTTTTATATTCAAATTGAGAGCTCATCTAATTGATTATATGAAGAGCCGTTAAGTTTTGTACTCTTTGACTTATTTTAAGAGGTAAATGGAGTTCTGGGGTTAATATTTTCGTCTTTCTTTCTTTATTTTTACAACCTTTATCTCCCTTTGTATTATGTTTGAACAAGGGTTCGTTTTGTTCGCTTGCATTACGTAAGAAACTTGTGGAAAAAAGAAGCAGCTGCTTTGAAAATGACAAGTAATTGTATTAAAACTTCATTTGTGGAAAAACGAAGCTGCTGCTTTGAAAATGATAAATAACAAAATTAAAAGTTGTTGACCTCTAAGAACCTAAGACTTCCAATAAGCGAAAGGCATTTGGAAGCAAAGTATTGTTTTGCTTTTGCTGTTTTAATAGAGATCCCATCTATTTGGTTTTAATGCTTAATCAATGTCAACTACTACTTTTTGTTCATAAGAGCCAAAAGTTTTGCACCACTTGCCTTATTTAAATAGATAAGTGTAGTAGTGGGGATAATATTTTCGTCTTTAATTATTCCCCCCCCCCCCAAATGGATTCCAGTTGCTTTCTATCAACCACTGCATGATTTAGCTCTCTTGTTAAGGAGAAATATGCACATTGTTCGCAGTTGACCTCTATTTCCCTTTGTTTTAGGTTCAAAGAAGCGTTCATTTGCATGATGCAAGGAACTTGTGAAAAAAGACAAATAATAATATTAAAATTCCATTTGTGAAAAAAAAGAAGCAGCTGCCTTGAAAATGATATTGAACTCCAGTTGTGAAATTAATATAGGTTGTAAGAAGTATTGAAATTCTTTTCCGTAATTATTTGGTCGCAGTACACTAAATGCCTTAAGCACTTGCAGTAGCCTCAACCGGAGGGGGATGGAGAAGGATCTGTTCCACCATGAGTCATCCATGTTAGAAAATTCACAATTTTATTCTTCTCGCGATTTACATGATGCACACAATTCGGTAGCAAATCCATCGATTTTGGTTTTGGGCCAACTATCATGCACGGTGCACCACCTCATCCTTTCTATCTACTCTAACAAATATAATAAATTAGTATCATTTGTATATTGGAATGGACCCAGAGATATTGATGGATGTGATCTGAAAATTTTAAAACTATATAGATTTTATTTTATTTTATTAATAATCTATCATTTGTATCGTATAAAATCTTATAATTGTATAATTCTTAAATTTATAATATAATTCTTAAGTTAGCACTGGTATAAATTTTTGCACCCATATCTATTCAGAAACAAAATTAAATGGCCTAACTAAATGATATAGAATGAATTATTTTGAAAACCTTTCATTTTCGTCCATTGTATCTTAAAAATGATAATTAAAAAACATAAAAAGTGAAATTCAGAATAGTATAATTGTAAACCGTGATTTTATTATATTATATTTTTTTACAAAATTCTAAATTTAATCATATTTAGAGAGGGGAGAGAGGATTCTATAAAAAGAAAAGGGAAGACTTTTAATAAATATAAAATTCATGACTTAAAAAATACAAGAAAAAAAAAGAACGAATAACTTGATTAACTAACCAAATGTGTTTACTCATATTATAATATTATTTATAATAATATCAATATAATAAATAATTTTGGTCTGTCCTATATTATTTTAATGATTAGGCGTTAGATGAGAAGATTCGAGATTCTTTTGCTAGTGTATTGTTTCAATTTATGGTATTATAAATGATGATATCTATTTTAAACATTATTGATTATTTAAAAATAAACGTTCAAATAGATAAATATAATGTATCACTTACTAATGTTTGAACCTATCACTTCTAGAGATAACAATCATCATTTTAACTATTGATGTCATTTAGTTCGTGTGAAAGCAGAACAAAATCATGTTATTCATAAAGATAAATTATATCAAAGATCTCAATAATAAATTAAAACTTTGATTATTAAACTATAAAAAATATAAAATGATTATAAATATGATTAAATTATAATATTTTAATAATTTGTTAATTAATTTTCGTTAATCCCTTACAAAAAATTAATTCATCTCAACATATATAATTTAATTACTAACTTTCATATGATCCAAATTTAAAAAATTATAATAATGTTACCATATGTCTTTTATATTTAGGGTAAAGTACATAAATGTTCGTCCAATTATAGAATGTTGTTTTGTTGATTCTTCTGAATATTAAAAGTTATAAAATGTTCTCTAGACTATAGAGCGTTGCTTTGTTGAGTCATCCGATTATTAAAAGTTATAAAATGATCTCCTAACTATAGGGCGTTGCTTTGTTGAGTCATTCGACTATTAAAAGTTACAAAATGGTCATTCAACTATTCATATGTTCCAAACTCACCCTTTTTGTTAACAAAATGACAGTCGTCTGAGCTAAATATTAATATGCTGACTGAGATATGATAGTTGTTTGAGATTCTAATATTAGATTTTATCATATTCCAGTTAGTAAGTTAAGGTCCAGCTCAAGCTATCATCAATTTTTTTAATGGAAAACGACGAGTTTGATACATATGAATAGTTGAGTGATCATTTTGTAACATACTATTGTCGGGAGATCATTTTATAACTGTTATTAGTCGAAGGACTCAACAAAATATTATAATATAATTATGGGACCATTTGCGTACTTTAACCTTATATTTAATTAGTTTAAGAGTGGTGAAAATCATTAAACTTTTTTTAAAATGTCAAACTATTTTGAATTTTTTCTCATCCAATTAAGATTTTATATTTTAAAATTTTATAAACTCATCTATTTGTCAACATTGATAGTTAAAATTAATATTTATTTAGATTAGTCGATGCACGAGTCATATCGCAGTGTTATAAAGTGACATTTTAAAAAAAAAAAGATAAATAATTTTTTTTAAAAGTAATAATTATACATATAAATTAACTTTTTTTAATTTAAAAACTACATACATTTTTAAATCAATTCAATTTTAGTACAAAACTAAATGTAAAAATATTCAAGTAAAGGAGCTAAAATACTATTAACCAAATTCAAAGTTGAACCACTTTTCATCTCAACTTGCTTTCTACAATTAGCCTGCCATTTTTGACGATGAACACCAAAGAAAGAAAAATACGTTAACATAGTTTTATGTGGACAATATTTAAAGTGTGACTATACAATAAATATGAATATATTAGGCAATTAACAAGATACCCTAGATTAATTAGAGCTGGTTTAAGCCAATGACCTTCCAACTCTCCCCATCCTCTTTATATAATCCCATTTAGGCGCTGAAGAAATCTTATTCTGTTTTCTACTTTCATAACTCAAACCAATAGATTTTCTCTCTTGATCTGTTATTGAAACCCGATTCTCTGTTACTTGGATTTGTAACCTCCCTTTGCTTTTCAATATTCACCGAAATCCCAAAAATCCCTTAAGAGCCTTTGTTTTTCCTTTCGGTTTTGTTAATTTTTGAACGTTCAAACGTCTGACAACTCTCGAAATGAATCGCACATATCCCGAAGAAATGCTGGAATTCAAGACGACCAAGAAGAAAATGTGGATGTTTTCTTGTTAGTCATTTCATCAGCATAAACTATCTCCCTAGGATTGTCCTCTTGCGTAATGGAAGCTATAATCATATCAGACATAGCACTGATCAACGCCAACAAGAAGAAAGTCGTTAACCAACAGAACTTCCCTCTGCAACAGCTCTCCTTCTGGTTCGCTCCCACCACACGTCCACCTGGTCTACGCTCTCTCACTTCTGGCTCGTAAATTGATTTAGGCAACAAAAAATAAGAAGAAAATTATTTTCTTTTCTTGCTTTTTTATGGCTTCTTACTCTTTCAACAACAACTTTTCATCTGAGAATTGTTACTCTGGTATCTTTGATCCATTTTCGCCTGATTTGGGACCATGCAATGGAAGTTCTAGTGGTGGGTCTTTGTCGCTGTCACAGTCCTTGGTTTTGTATAGTGAGAAAGGAGAACTGGCGAAAGCGCCGGTTAAAGTAAGGAAGAAAACGGTGTCAGAAGAGAATATTAAAGCAGCTTTGAAGAGTCATAGCGAGGCAGAGAGGAGGAGAAGAGAAAGAATCAATGCTCATCTCGATACACTCCGCACCCTCTTGCCCTGCACCCAAAAGGTACCAAGTGATTGAGAACTATTAGTACAATTTTATGTTAAATTCGGATTTATGATTGTCAAACAACAAATACAATTCTGTTCATAAAAAATTCCTTGGGAACAGAGGGATCTTGTTTTGATTATCAATTTTCCTGAAACTGCAACATTTTGAGAACCTACAGCTGTTGCTTATGTTGACTTTGATGAATAATGAATAATGAAATCGTGAGATAATGAAACCGAGTATTTTAATCTCTCTCTGTCTTACTGCATAATATCTTATTTTCTCGCATTTGGAAGATCAATTCTAAAATTTCAGAATGCTAGAGTCAACTGGGGATGGTTCAGCTTTAAGTTTTATTTATGGTTGAAAGCTTGCTTCCAGAAAGAACATTGGAAAATGAAGTGACAATGTAGATAAGATGGACTGATAATCTGTTAACACAAGCTTTATACAATATTATTTTTTCTGTCAAAGCATTGAGTTTGTCGGCTGGACAGTATAAATATATATGTTCAAAAGTGATGACGATCATAATAATTGGTAGGTGGGGAATATGACAACTGTTCTGCTATGTTATGACATGAGGTTTAGTTATTCAATATCAGCTGCTGCATATTTATTTGTTAGAATATACTGTATGTGACATGCGCATTAGATTATATTATGGTTTGAGCGTAAGCAAGGATTTGACATCTATATTAGATGTGTATTTTGGCTGCTCTTTATTTTCCCGAATTTATTTCAGTAATTAACTGGAGAAATCAAAGGGTACTTCCTGGTCATTGTTTGAGCTGATAGCAATGTTTCGATTGCTGATTTGTAGATGGATAAAGCGACATTACTTGGTGAAGTGATTATGCAATTGAAAGAAATGAGGAAGAATGCAACTGAAGCCAGCAAAGGTCTACTTGTTCCGATGGACAATGACGAGGTAAGCGTTGAACCATGTAGTATCGACGAAGCCGATGGGATGGTTTCATTTAAAGCATCCATCTGTTGTGATTATAGACCTCAACTTCTGACTGACCTACGTCAAGCCCTCGATGCACTTCCCTTTTCATTTAAGATTCTCAAATCAGAAATATCGACATTAGGAAGTCGATTGAAGACTGATTTTGTTTTCACAGCCGGCTACAGCAGTGCTGCACATGTCGTCGACAACCATGGTGACGCCGATGCCGATGCATGGCGTTTTCTAGCATGTTCGATTCGGCAGGCCCTGGATTCTGTACTGGAGAAGGCTTCGACGTCACTGGACTACTCCCAATTCTTGACATTCCCGAACAAGAGGCGAAGGATCTCTTACATTGATTCCTCAAGCTCGTCTTAACATTCGAAAAAGGACTAGTCTTTCTTTCGTTTTTCGTTGATGGACGGACAACACAACTCTGCATGATATGCGGGTTGAATTAAATATTTAAACTTTAAAAAACATGTGATAGTGCCCCCAAAAAAAATCATATCGTTTCCAATGACTTGTAATAAATCTATATTGTTCTATGTATGATTACTTTTTATCACGCCAATTTATTTTAAGCTTTAATAAATTAGCACAAACTAGATAATTTTAGTGATTAAAGAGTCTATTATTATCTCTCAAAGTTTTGAGTTTGAATGTTCATTGTCAATAAACCAAGAGTCTTTAAACAAATTATTATAAATATCATATTGTATTTACCCTAGATTTATAAAATAAATTTAGTAAAATAATTTACACCATTAATATATTCCAAATAAAATTTAGGTAATCGATCGTAAAATGAATTTGCAAGCTGATGTTTTAATTCAGAGTGGTTTTATGTTGTTATCCCTAGAACTCTCGTGTTCGAGCATCAATGACTACAAAGCATTTGAGCGTTCATTATCATTTGTCAAGTGGTTGAAATCTTTAGAACATATACTACCACTCGTAATCGCTCTAGATTAATAAAAAAAATAGGAGTGGTTTATTAAAAGAGAGTAAACATATTTACTAAAAATAATTAATATTTAAATTAAATATGAAATAAACACATTTATTTATAAAATTTTAATTTTTTTTATTAATTTAAGGTGATTACAAATGATAATATATGTTCTAAAGACTTTCGACTATTTATTTAGTATTCAAATATTCTGTAATTACTGGTTCTCCAACATTACACCTTTAGAGATAACAATAATTTTTTATCCAAATCACTCCTTTATTTGTCGGTTTATGTTGCTAAGTTGGGCGTTTTCTCTTATTTTCTGTGTAGACATTGGATTCCAGAAACTATGCTAGAAAGGTCGATTTCTACAAGTTTTTATTTTCTGGAAACATGGCTGGATCAGTGGGCATGATTTTGGTAATGTGGCAACGAGTCAGCATCTTCTAAAATGTTCAGTTAGCATTTTCGTGAAAATAGAAGACTCAGCCGCAAATCTAGACGTGAATTTAGGAATTATCTTTATTTTTGGGATTTATTTCAAACAATTAAGGGAATTATCTTTTGCAATTTATTAGGATTATCTTTTATGATTTTTAGGAATTATCTTTGCAATTTTTTAGCTATAATCTCTTAGGATTTTTAGGGTTTTCGAGGACTATAAATACCCCATTGGTGTAAGCCTCAAATCATCATTCATATCTCGAATTCTTTTGTTTTTCTTTGCTTTAGTTTTCTTCTTCAATAAAGTTTTTACTTTTCTCTTTAAGTTTTTACTTTTGACCTTTTATTTATTTTCTTTAAAATGCTAAGTATGTTTTCTATCATACTTAACTAAATTTTTTTATAGCCAAAGGCTGAAGCGATGACTCAATTCCGATCATAAGAATTGAAGAGCACCTAATACACTTCGGGTTACATTCTCAATTTTCTGGAATTAAAAATTGGTAATCAATCATCCTTTTATAATCAAAACACTTTCAAATCAAAAAGAGTTCGTTGGCTTGTTAGTTGTTTCGATTAATAGTTGCGAGGAAGGATCAACTTGTAACACATCCGACTTCCTGGGAACACACTTAGCGGCAGTCTGCTATTTGGAACTGATATCAGATTCAATTCTCAGCGAGACACTATCCGAATCGGGTTTTTCCAAACCTTTAAAATCGAGTGGCGCTAATAACGATTATCGCGATTAGTCCACATAAGGACTTACAATCAAAGATTGTTTTAGATTGTCAGTTCAATTGAGAGAAATACAAGTTATAGGGGTTGGGCTTATAGACTGTAGCCGTCATGAATTCGAAGTAAAAAATCTATTTTGATGATCGACGAAATTTGAGGCAAAGCGAAAGTTGGAGGCTGATTTTTATAATTAGAATTTTAATTCAACTCTACTCCCCTTCAATTTTATTTTCCTTATTTATAATTAAGATAAACCCCTTTACTTTCTTTTGCAGTTCACGCCTAGTTCAAGAACAAGAATCAATTCATCGGTGATTCCATATTCCCTGCGGATCGATCCTTACTCTCTCTATAATATTCTTATTTAATTTTTATTGAGATTAAGGCATATTTTATTTGGCAATTAAAACAACGCGTTGTCAAATTGTCAAATAAAATACGTCTTAATCCCAATAAAAATTAAATAAGAATATTATAGAGAGAGTAATGATCGATCCGCAGGGAATATGGAATCACCGATGAATTGATTCTTGTTCTTGAACTAGGCGTGAACTGCAAAAGAAAGTAAAGGGGGTCTATCTTAATTGTAAATAAGTAAAAAAAAATTGAAGGGAAGTAGAGTTGAATTAAAATTATAATTACAAAAATCAGCCTTCAACTTTCGATTTGCCTAAAGTTTCATTGATCACCGAAATAGATTTTTCACTTCGGATTCATGTCGGTTATAGTCAATAGGGACCAACCCCTATAAGTTGTTTTTCTATCAATTGAACCAACAATCTAAAACAATATTTGATTGTAAGTCCTTATGTGGACTAATCGCGACAATCATTATTAGCGCCACTCGATTTTAAAGCTTTGGAAAAACCCGACTCGGATAGTGTCGAGCTGAGAATCGAATCTGATCTCAGTTCCCAATAGCATAATGCCGCTAAGTGTGTTCACAGGAAGTCGAATGTGCTACAAGTCGACCCTTCCTCCCAACTGTTAATCGAAAAAACTAATAAGTCAACGAGCTCTTTTTAATTTGAAAGAGTTTTGATTATAAAAGGATGGTCGATTATCGAACCTTAATTCCAGAAAACTGAGAACGTAACCCAAAGGGTATTAGGTGCTTTTCAATTCTCACGATTGAAATTAAGTCATCGCTTTAGCTTTTGGCTATAAAAAAAACTTAGCATTTTAAAGAAAATAAATAAAAGGTCAAAAGAAAAAACTTAAGGAGAAAAGTAAAAACAATATTGAAGAAGAAAACTAAAGCAAAGAAAAACAAAAGAATTCGAGATATGAGGCTTACCCCAAAGGAGTATTTATAGTCCTCAAAAACCCTAAAAATCCTAAGAGATAATTCCTAAAAATCACAAAAGATAATCCTGCTAAATTGCAAAAGATAATTCCCCTAATTGTTTGAAATAAATCCAAAAAATAAAGATAATTCCTAAATTCACGTTTGGATTTACGGTTGAGTCTTTTGTCTTCACGAAAATGCTGACTGGACCTTCTAGAAGATACTGACTCGTCGCCACATCAGCGAACTCATGCCCACTGATCTAGCCATGATTACAGAAAAATAAAAACTTGTAGAAATATTCATTTTTAACATAGTTTCTAGAATCCAATGTCGTACACAGAAAATAAGAGAAAACACTCAACTTAACAACATAAACTGATAAAATAAAGGAGTAATTAACAATAAAATAGTAACTAAATTAAAGATATCTTACTGATATTGTAGGTCAATATGATTTATCAAGAAGAGATGCTTTTAGTGTTCCTCACTTCATGTCCTTTTCTTTTCAGAACCTATACATGAAAATCATCATGCGCTAAGTAAAAACTTAGTGAGGCAGTAACACAAGTAAGATGAGATAAAACATAAATATCATAAAATACTTTAAAACATGAAATTGTAATTTAATTAAAAACATTGAAACTTTCAAATCGAGCTATTCAAGCCATTTTCCTCTATGAAAACCTGAAAATCATCATCTTATGATTTTATTAAAAATCATGTAAATCAACATCATATATAACAAATATTTCATATTCTTTTCATTCGTACATATTTCAGAACTTTCATTTCATTTCCATATTCTTTTCTTTCAAATACTTGTCACAACTTTGACATTTACTTTCATAGCCCAATGTGTATGTAATAAAATGCAAGGTACGTGATTTATATATAATGTACGCACTAGGCACTTCACGATGCCAATCATCATCATAAGATGCACTCCAAGTGCAAATCATATCATATGCACCAACGGTGCCATACGTAATGTACACGAATGTACCATAACTTAACTTGAATTTTACTCAACTTCCTGACATGTCAAGTGTACCTACAACTCTCAATGTAACATACAATGGGCTTCTATATCATATTATATTCATTTAATCACACATTTCCAAATTTAAATCATTTTCCATTCATCTTCGTAAAAATCATAACTTAGTTCTTATCCTAAAATAATTCATATAACATTTCTAAAATCATCGAGAAAATATTCCAACATTAACAATAAAAAATCATTCTTTAAAATCATTTTAAAAAAAATCATTCTAATACATTTTTAAGAAAATATCATATAAAAACCTATTGGATAATTTCATACCCAAAATAACCATAAAACTTTTGTATGTTATTATGGAAATATTTAATAATTAAAATAAAATCATACTTTTAAAAAATAATATGAGGTTGACTTATCGCAAGTCTTCTCAATTAGAATAATTAAATAAATAAAAATATATTTACTTTTGTCTCACTAGTAAATATTAACGTCGATTTTACTTTTACTCCGATCCTTTGTTTTTCTCTTTTTGCTCAGATTGACTTTGGTTGCAATCACAATCTATCTGACAATAAATTATCCGACAAAAATAATTTCAAAATATATGTTAGTATCTAACTAACCTATCAAATATGCATTTACCTAAATTCAAAAACAAACAATCACAAATTCAATAATAATTTCTATAATTTAATCAATTATATCTCAACTTCTCAAAATAATCCTTTTAGTCCTTGAAAATAATTTTTCTTGAATTTAAACCAGTTAACTTCCACAATCTCACATTTAGCCCCCCAATAAAGCATTTATTGCTCTCAACAACTACATTTCGAAAATTCTTATATTAATACCTCTATGAGTACTTTCATTCCAATTTAATCATCATAGTCACCATTCTTCATTAATTCCAGCTAAGTATCTCAACCTTGCAACTTTGCAATTTCATCACTAATATTTTTCCCAAGCCTTTCAAATTGATCATCAATCTTTCATCACTTCCCAAATTAACTCAATTTTCCCAAATTAACTCAATTTTCCCAAATTAACTCAATTTAGCATTCTAATAAAATTTTCAGCATAGCACTTTACTCTTCAAAAGCTTACATCTCAGTCCTTTAACTTCCCAAACCTTGCAAAATGGTCC